TTTCCTTTTCAATTAGGCTCTTTTGTCAGATTAAAACTGCTTTTGGAAAGAAACAACCTTGAAGCAGGTGTTAAACACTCCTTTCATCATGCCCTCATTTTTGCATTAAAATGCTTATTTTTTTTATTGGTCACTTGTAGTGTCCTGCTCATTGTTTGAATGTAACAATGTTTATAATTAACAAAAAGCGAGGGCTGGAAAACACCAGCCTGAGTATAATTAGCCATTTTAGGTGTTGCACTATGTGTGAACAGATTTGTGATTAGATTATAATTGTTGCTTTAAGCGTTACGTTTTATTACTAAACTCTGATTCAAAATTTGTGAAAAACATTTTGAAGTTTTTATATGATTCTCTACATTATCAGTAAATGGTTATAATAATGGTTTACATATATTAATACAATTTCAGAAATAATTAATATTTGGCTTTACATGGCGTTTATTAAACATATATTTGAGTTGTGAGTTTGGAAGTGATCAAAGGTCAACCCTTATTTTTGTTTATTACCTTTGTGGGGCATTTTTCCACTAATGGAACAAATGCCAGATAATGTAAATCAGTGAGCTTTAGAGGCTCGAGCAAGTTATAGCTCAGCAGTTTTTCTTCCAAACTCTCATTAAAATGCTAAAGTGAGTGAAAGACTTTTGCTACAGGAGTAGAGGTATGTTACTAATATTCTGCTCTAAGTCAGTGAGAAAGTAAATTACTCCTCAGGGCTGGCTGCATTTATCGATACACCCAGTAAAGATGAATAAAAAGGCGTAAAAGAAACTTCTCTTTTATAATGCAGCAGAACCTCACACAATATTTTATATAATAAAGCTTTTAAATATCAGTACCTTCATAAGTTGGTAAAGCGAGTCTCTTTAATCGCTTTTTGTAAACAAAATGCACAGTAATGATACCTCAGCTGCCAATTCTTGTTACTGTAGGCCCGCCCGCCTTTTAAGATTACAATGCTTTTCAAAACTCTGAAGCATTCAGAGAGAGTTATTTGACTATTCCACTTTAAACAACATCATCTACTGTCTTGGATCTTCTATGGTGAGCTTTTCTCTTTTCACATTTACACATCTCTTCTGCTGAGTTAAGGTTAGAGTGGCAACTAATGATTATTATTGATTTTTTTAGATTTTGCTTATCGATTAATCAGTCAATTATTTTTACAATTAATTATTGTATAGAAAAAAGTTCCTTAAAGAATTTTTTTACAAAATTCGACCAGTTGAATTTAAAAATTCCTGCTTGTGGAGTTCTGGACAGAATATATTGACAGATGAAAGTTTTTTTTTTATCTGAAATGCAAAATATTGATATATTTTTGTTGCAGTTATAGTATAATTACTGCTCTAAGTGGGTTGCTCTGTCAGTAAACGGTGTGTTTTAGAGTCTCTATACTCTAAGGATTAATCGATTACTAAATTAGTTGACGATTATTTCAACAATTGGTTATTATTGTTTTAACCCTAATTAAAGCTACAGTGTGTACAGTAATAATTACAGGGATATACAGTCGGCAATGTAATATATTATACATAACTATGTTATTTATCATCATCTACGAGCTCAGCCTCTTAACCTTAATATTTGCGTTGCCTTAGAATTCGTTATTTATAATTACATAGGAGCGGGTCTCGCAGCCATGGAGGCAGACATCTTTGCGCTACGGCAGCGCAGAGCCAACAAACTAGCGATTGCGAGATCGCCCATTACGCTCGAAAGTAACTACGGCAAGTTGAGAGAGATGAACTGAGACTGTACTGAAATCTATACCCTACACAGACTAATGAAATACTGTCTGTAAAATTATCTATGTAAACAAACCTCATCACTTGAGAAGGTAGGTGATGCGGACGTAGTGGAAGACATTTTGTCCCATAACGCTCGCCGTACTGTTGGGGGGGAGAAGCGGTGGGGGGGAGATGTTCATGTTGCTGCGGTCTGCAGTCTGGACTTTAGATGTCGCTGAAAATTACACACTGTAGCTTTAAGGCCTAGTGTTTGAGAGAGGCTTAGAAAAGTTGTCTCAAGTTCCAGTCCTCAGGGGGGCCATGTATCCTTTAACCTTTAGTATTATTTATTTTCCAACAAACCCAAATCCGACATTAGCTAATTAGCAGAGCTCTGCATTGACTGCTGCTGTGCCCTTACGTCCGCCCTAAACCCTAAATCCCTTAATCACTATATAGAGTGGGGACTATATAGTGGACTTTATGCTGAACTCAGTTAAATGACCGTTCGGACAGATGATCACTACTTTTCGCTTGCCTTCAATGACGTGATTTTTTCTCGCCCCTAAAATAAATCCTATTTGTGAGGAGATCTCTTGCAAAGCATTCTGGGATATATCTGCTAGGGACCATCAATGTACACTGCTTTTTAGGGTGCTTTGTGGGAAATTTTGAGTGAGAGATGTTTAGACACTCATATAAAATAGCGTGACATCTATATACTGTAGTGCCCTGTAACGCGGTTACGGCGGATGTTTGAAAGCAGGCTCCTACTAGAGATGTAGTTTTAACATTTGATCAGGTTTTTAGAGTGAGGGACACATCTAAAAGCTGCAGGACACCAGCCCTCATGGATTTGAGTTTGAGCCCTCTGGCTTAGAAGGTTCACCCACTACTGTCCTACTTACAGTGGTCTGGAATAAGTTCCCATATTTACAGAAATCCTAGTATTTTTGAGAATTCATAATTTCTTGCTCTCTAGGAAAATTGTCGGATAGACACCCAGTCACCTTCCTAGCCTTATGACCATTTAAATGTTAGTGGGGAGGACCTGGGTTGAGACGAATGGCTCTCTGTGCTAGAGGTTTTTTTATTTTACGGTAACAAAGTAGTAGTTTAGTTAAAATCAATGGTTTTAACATGGGATCTTTGTTTCCGTGTTGAAAGAACCTATATAGTTCATATCTGTAGTGCCAGTAATTGTGAACAGCAATGATTTAAATAAAGTTAGAGATTGCTATCATAAAAAATGTACATGCAAATCTCCTGTGGAGTCCAATGGACTAATACAGTTAACCCGCCTCCCATTAAAAAATATCTTTATATTTTTTTTTTTTTTTGAGTCTAGAATTCTTGTTTATTAAATCTCAGCAGGTTAAATGTGTCGCTGTTTTTTGGGGAGCTGCCATATCCTCGCTTCTTGTTGTTGCAGCTATTTAAATTTCTGTTGTTGCTGTGTTTACAAAATGCTGCTTTATCAGCAGGTCAGGTGGAGTTTCTTTTCCCCCTCCCCCTTCGTATTTTCTTGTCCTGCACAGACTTTATTCCTCAAGCACGCATACACTCATAATCTCCTTTTTGTCCTCCTTTCCCTGCCTCTTCCTCTGAGCGTGAAGGCAAACTCAGCAGACCTTCAGGCTGCCGGGAACCAAAGCATGCTGGGTAATCCACAGTGCTTTGGAATAGAGTGGGAGAACAAGAAGGTTGGGACTCACAAAAATCATGATGAGCATGATGTCAAACACTCCAACAGAACACAGACGCAAACAAACAAAAAAACAAACCAAATCCATCCTGCATCGCTGAACCAATGGAAGCACACAGTCTCCATCTGTGTCCATCTGTACACTCGTCTGCTCAGACAAACACAGGCTACGTTTGTAGCAGAACATGGAATCCAGGAGCTGCTGCAGATCCCGCTGCCTGTTGCCGACCTTTAAAGACGGAGAGATATGAAGGAGGCAAAGGGAGTGGAGAGGGTGGCGGGATGGAGCTGCGGCGGATACAAGAGTGTCGTCAGTCTGCTTTTATCTCAGCTCTGATTAAACCCTGTTCCTGTCTGACCTAAAAAGTCAGCTGGCGGAAACTTCAGAGACTGTGGGTGAATTTCAGCAGAGCTCTTTTCATCCAATCATCACAGAGAGACAGAAGATCAGAAACAGAGCAGTTTATACATGTGCAATGTGCACACGCTACATCGATTGTCATATAGGTACAGAGGGGTAGTCTGCCTAAATAGCTGCTTATTGTCCTGAATGTTTTCTGACCTGGGCTCCTCAATAAGGATTTGAGAGATGTCAGCACAATACCACAGGAAATAGTTGAGAGGCTCTGCTGAAATGATCCAGCGCCACCGGTCTGGGAGAAGCGCTACAACAGAAATAAAAAATAATACAATGAACAAAAATAAACATGGGCCAGCTTTGGTAGGCATGGGTAGAAACAGGAAACATCCCATTAAGAGAGACGAGAGGAAAACAACAGACAAAGAACCTTAGGTTGCACATTTCTTTAGATATTTTATTGTTTGATTGATTTCAATTGAAAACGCTTGTAAAAGGTTCAGTAGGTGATTATTTAATATAATATTTTATTGTCTAAATAATAAACTAAGATCTTAGCACTTAAAGTTTTAGCAGAAAGGCTTGCCACAGAATTTCTACTGGATTTCAGTCTGATGTTTAGCAATAGCATCCCACCATGTGGATAATCTTGAATCTGAACCAGTCCACTGTAGCTCTGTCTGTATGTCTGTTAAGGGTTCTTGGCCCTCCTAGCTTACTTTTAGGATGATGTGAGAGAGAAGATATGTTTTGACTTATATTGTTCTCTGCACTTGGGCTAAAAGTTCAGTTTTAGTCTGACCAGAGCTCCTTCCTCACCATTTTCCCTGTCCCCTGTATGGCTTGTAGTTCACCTTGACTGGACTTTTTATGGCTGTTTCCATACTAGCTTTATTCTTCTAGTAGAAAGCTGGGTCAGAGTAAAGGATGCTAAATGCAAATGCAATTTGCCCTTTTCAGATTTTTGCTTGTCTGTGATGTTAAAAGTTGTTCCCTCTTCTTTTTTTTTTTTATATTAAGCTTTGTTCTTTGTTGTTTAAACACATAAAACTCTTCCAATAAAATACATTATAGTGTATCGCTGTGTTATTACCCGACAGGTTACAGGGGTATGCATACGTTTGCAATAAGACTGTAGTTTTTCTAGCAGTGTGTGATTCTAAATGAGCTTTGACACTGTTTTGCCTGTGTCTGACCTGTTTAGAGTGCTGCAGCAGCTCCCAGCCCCGTCCTCGGGAACCTTCCTACAGGAGAGAGCATGCCAGTGGGGCCTGTTCCTCCAGGATTCTTTCAGGTATGTGTTAAAACAAACTCAGTTTTGTTTCTTTTTATTTCTTAAGTATAATGCATTCCACATCTTCCTACCTTTTAATTGTAAGTGTACAGATAAGACCATTATTTTAAACACTTTTTGTAATCAAACCCACCTTTAATTTATGCTTTTCTGATTAAATTACTCTTAGCAAAATCAACTAATTATGATTTTTGCAACTCCTTATTACTGTCTACTGGTTTGTATTTTAGTTTCAAACTCTTTTAGGAACAACTGTAGAAATGTGAGGTCTGCTTTGACCGACTAAATAGTAAGGAAAGCACAGAATCAAGAGGCAGCTGCTTATATTTGTTTCAAAGCTTACATGCAATAAGTAGATTTTTATGAGGATAACACAGGAAACATATCAACTGGCATTTCAAATAGTGCAGGAAAATATTCTTCTGCATCCTTTAGTGTAGGCTCTGAGATTTGCAGTTGTTCAAATCTTAAGCAACACTAAACACAAAGAGCATTTATATTTATTTACCATTTCATTATGTGAGAAGGTAAACCACATGATGAAGAGAACCAGTCTGAATAAATCTAAGGTAGGACATGCTGGCAGCAGTGCCTCATGTCAGCCCTGAATGACTCTATGCTCTTTGATTGATTAACTGTCTTTATCAGTCAAATTCAGACCACAGCTTCCGACATCCAGATCAATAACCTTCCAAGATATTTTCCACTCCGCATCTAGAAAATCAAATATGAGCTCAGACAGCAGATTAGTTGCTTATTGTACACGATTTTATTAGTATGAAAAATGTCATAATATGTACATGGTTTGGTTCTTTAATGGGTACTGATACCAAAGATAATTGATAGTTTATTTAAAAGTTGTTGTTTTTTTCAGTGTTCTTTTTCCACTTTCTTATCCTGTTCAAATATAAAGGTCTACTGCACTCTAGTGGGACATGGTAGCATTGCTGCGCTTACACTGCAGTGAAGCATTTTTGACCACGTGGACCTTCATAGGACACAAACAGCATTGCCATTGTCTTTGTAGTGAGTGAGAACCCACATGGAAGCAAAATGAGGGAGCCGAAATACATGCTGACATAATCTAGATAATAATAAAACCCAACATTATTACTGTACAAACAAACCTCATGCTCCATTACCTGGCTGTGCAGTATTTTTGCATAACCGTAATCCAATAAAATGTTGGATTCGTATTTTCCATACAGCTATCTCTGATTAGTTCAAATACCATTTTTGGAAATTAGTTTGTTGAAACACTCAGGTGCTTTGTTTGCCTCTTTTATAGCCCTTCATGTCACCACGATACCCCGGAGGGCCCAGACCACCCCTAAGACTACCTAATCAGGTGAGAGCTGCTCTCACACTTCCAGTATAACATAACACATTCCAATACATATAAGAGAAATAGAAAAAACAGCTAAATATGTTTGACTATTAATAATATATAGCTGTATTACAGATGTAGTTCTTTTAGGGTATTACATTACATCTTATTACAGCTAGAACTGACTTATTTTTATTTTTTTATTTTTTTTTATTATTATTATTTTTTTTACAAAATAGAGTAGAATAGACTGGATTAAAGGTCTTCCTATAGACAGAAAACTGGACTTGGATCAGGACTTTAACGGGGCAATGAAGACTTGAATCTTTCTGTAATCTACCTCCCTATTATTTCTGATCAGCTTTCCCAGACTGTTATGGAGAAGCATTGCCAAACAACAATAGTTTTGTTCTGATGTTATAATTTTCAGCAGGGACAGTGTTTTGGGTGATGCACAATGGGTTTTCTTTTTCCACACATTATTCCTCTTCCTCTGGAAATTAAGATTCATCTGACCTGAGCACTTTTTTTTTGTACAGCCATTTTCTGCATTCTACATGGCAAGAGTTCTTAATAATGATGGCCTTCTTTAAGCTTCACCACATAAGGCTGTTGTCCCTCTGTGCATGTTTCTCCCAGAATCATCTGCTGTGTTTGTTGATGTTCCTTGATCTTCGTTATCTGTTAGCTCACTAAGGTTCTCTAACACAGGCATCCCCAACCTCGGTCTTCGAGGCCCGCTGTCGTGCAGGTTTCAGAGGTTTCCTTGCTCATCACAGCTGATTTTAATTGAAAGTTGACTAACAGCCTTTTGACTACTGCAATCATTATAATCAGCTGTGCTAAAGCAGGTAAACCTCCAAAACCTGCAGGACAGCAGGCCTCGAGGACCGAGGTTGGGGATGCCTGCTCTAACAGACTTTTGTGAGCTTCACAGAACAGGTGGATTAATACTGATTAATACTGAGTGGATTCTCTTTAATAACAAAAGCAGTTCTGAATTTAAAGAAATTTAAAGAAATTATGTATTACAGTCCTTTAACTTTGAAATTTTAGTTTGTGTTAGTTTATCACTTAAAATCTTAGTTAAAAAAAATAAAGTTTGTGGTTGTAGTTCTCAAAGCAAAATAAGTGTTAGGGACCTGGACACTTTTACAATCCACAATGAATGAATAATGGAAATAAGCTTTCTCTGTGGCAGTGCTAATAATCCAGCCGATATGTTGGTGCTGTTTTCTCTCTAGGGACTTGGAGGAGTTCCAGGTAACCAGCCTATGCTACCTACTGGGATGGACCAAACCAGACAGCAAGGTACTACGATATTACAATACAAAGCTGATAATACTCAACCTATAAGGAGTGAGACCTAAATTTAAAACAGTACAACATTTGTATTCCTATGACTAAAATATTTCAGTTTGTGCCCACTAACCAAGGATCAGAAGATGCAGTCTCTGAGGTTCCTCTTGTAGGTGCAGGACATAAATCCCCATGAAGATCTAACAAAAAATTTTTTTAAGATTTTTAAAAGTCTTTTTAAAAACCTTTGAGTAAGATAAAACATTTCTTTTCTTAAAATAACTAAAGTGACCATTGTCATAGTCTGCTGTGGGCTGAATTTTAAAACAGAAGTTCTTACATATTTGGAAGATTTTATTTATGTTTTTGAAAATTCTAAACTTTGTTAAGATGCAATTTTCTGGTTTCAAAGACGCAAGTGTGATTAATACATATGTTGTTATTTGAACAAAGAGACTACAGTCTAATACCTTTCAGTTTAAAGGTACAGCATAAGATTGGTAAAAATCCTGCTCCTAATCCTAATCAGACAAAAAGATTTTATCGTCAATTGAAAGTCATTTTGAAAACTAACCGCTGGGATGTATGGATGGTTTTTATGTTTCAGGGCATCCAAGCATGGGAGGACCAATGCAGAGGATGACCCCCCCTAGAGGCATGGTACCCCTGGGGCCCCAGGTAAGCAATACTAATAGAATTATAGACGTTTGTTAAGCAATATGGTTTTAAGTGTTTTTTTTTTTTTCCCTTTTTCCTTAAGAGCTATGGAGGTGGGATGAGACCCCCACTGAATGCCTTGGTTGGTCCTGGGATGCCTGGTATGAGCATGTGAGTGGTGGACACATTAATCTGTAATACTAATAACCTTCTACAAATATAAAGCTTTAAGAATTGCGATATATGTCTCCTTTTGTGACATTAGAACAACAAAAATTTTCTTTTATTGTAATTCTGTGTTGGCCAGCACAAATAAGTGCATATCTGTGATTTGAAAAGTCTTATAAATAAGGATTTTTATTTCAAATTAATTTGGGACCAAGAGACACCAAAATTGTTCTGCTCATTCTTCTTTGCACTGCAGCGTAGTCTCAATCTTTTATCCTTCTGGATTCTTCTAAAATCTCTAAACATTTTTCCTCTTCCTTACGATGAAAAGCATCCCGACAGGGTAAGGCTGCTACTGCTGTGTCACTTTGGAGGCTCATGCTTGGTGTTAATTTTTTGCATTGTATTAGAAGTTCTATTTTGTGGGATATTGAGAAATAGGACCCATATTTAGGTCTCTTTTGCCTTGGACTTAAGTTTAGAAGACCTGCATCATCTTTAGGTAGGTTTCCAGGTGAGTCTAGCTCTTTCCATTTACTGAAGATGGGTTGAACCATGTAGGGATTTCCCCAGTTCTCTTTTTTTCTGCTTTCACAACTCTCTCTCTGACCTTCATGCCATTTCCCTCAGCCTTCATTGTGCTGGGTTTTCATTTAAACCTCTAAAGGCAACAGCTTGCACTTGGTTTTATTTAGGGGTATCGGGGAACTTCAAGTTTTCAGTGAAATTCAATGGAACTTGAATTTGTAATGTGAAAATGTCAGCATGCAGCAAAGGGAATTTGAGTATTTTGGTGCTTCCCAAGCAATCCTTGCTGTGCATTTTGAATTGTAAACTAAATGGGACTTTTTTTGCTTGTACTGAGATATCTTAAATCTGTCCCAAACTCAAAAGCTTTTACCCTCTTTGACTGGATATTTACTGTGGACCTGGGAGGTGACTTTCCAATTTTTTTTTATCTTCTTTTGTCCAAGTTCTTTTCTTTTTTTCCTTGATGTTCCCACCACCTTTTCTCCTGCCGTCAGAACATTTTGTTGTTGCCAACTCTGACCAGAAATAGCGAGGCCTGCATAAAAGCAGAATACTGATGTGAGTGTATGTGTGTGTTGCAGGGGACCTGGCGGTGGCAGACCTTGGCCAAATCCTCCAAACTCAAATTCTGTAAGTCCTCAGACAAAACAGCCTTGAAAAAAATTTTATGTATCACTTCATCACTTACATTTGTTTCTTCTCTTGTCTTTTTCAGACTCCTTATTCTTCTGCATCTCCAGGCAGCTATGTGGTATGTTTAACGTTCGTGAGACTCTTCTAACGCTTTGAGTAACAGCTTGTTAATTTATGCAGTAAAACCAAACTTTTAATTTCAGGGACCCCCAGGGGGAGGGGGTGCACCAGGAACCCCAATAATGCCAAGTCCAGCAGGTGAGACTTATCCTTAACATACATATGGACAAAGTTGTTGTTTCCACTTATGTAAGAAAAGAAAAGCCCACAGTGGTCAGAGAAATTACTTGAACCTTGAAAACAATGAACTCGTAAAAACAGACCTGGTTAAAATGACTTATTATTTGATGACCATATCTTAATATTTTGTTGCATAACGTTTTGAATCAATCACTGCAATAAAATGATTCCTGTAACTGTCAATGGGACATTTGCTCCTCTCAGCAGGTATTCTGGTCCACTCCTCATGAACACTGAGGAACTGTTCCAGTTGTCTCAAGTTTGAATAGGGTCTTTTCCAGACCGCATGTTTCTTTTCAAAGATGCTCATTCAAGATATGCTTAATTTTTCTATCTGTGAACATGGAGCTGATGTGTTTCGGCAAAAAGTTACATTTTTTGTCTCATATCTCCATAGGACGTTCTCCCAGAAACATTGTGGCTTGTCAGCACATACTGTAATTTAGCAAATTCAGATTGGCTTTTTTAGGATTTGTTTTCAGCAATAATGTCCTCTTTGGTTGTCTCTCATTAAGCCGACTTTGGCTAAGCAACAACAGTTGGTGGGATCTGCTACTGATGTTCCTTGAGCTTGAAGTCCACCAGGGCTGATTTGTTACCATTTATTTCATCCATTTCTTAAATTTTTCATCAGTACTCTTCCTGCTGCTAATCCAGGGGGGTGTGCTACAGTCCCATGCAAAGTTGTGCCAGTTCATAATGAAAATAACTTGCTCAAAGTTCAGTTCACACAGATGAAAATGAACTAAATCATGTTCATAGTTCCCTTATTCAAAAAATGAATGTTCACAAACCTATAAATGAACACAATCCTACACAATAAAACCTCATATTTCACCCTTTTAATGTGTGACCAAAATATATAGAAGGAAATGGAAAATACTCGATGCAGTCAATGTATACTATATGTGCAGTCAAACCTTTATTTACTCAAGTTACACAGAAGTTGAGAAACATACGGGAACATTCAGGTTCTGCTGAAAAGATTTGTATTAAAAATTTACCTTCCTCATTCAGCAGCAGATATTTCCCAAGATACCTTGGATCCTTAAACTTGACATGCCACTTTAAATTCTAAGTGGACGTGGCTGAATTACAGACTTGTTTGTTATGTCCAGGTGGGAACAGTTTGCAAAAAAGCTTTAGGGTTTTTTTTCTGTCCGAGTCTTCCTCTGTGAGTTCATAAAGCTTGGCCAAGTGCTCTGTAAAACTGGCATCAGAAATACCAGTAGATGAGTCTGAATTGCGCAGAGTAGTACTAGCAGTAAACATGCTGGGCTGTCATGCTGTTTGCCGTAAAAGTGTCATTATCAATTGAACATGAACACAACCTTTGTTTCGCTCACTATTCTCAGAGTGAAAGTTGCTGTAGTTTACGTTCATTACTTCAAAACTAATCCGTTCAGTTCACCATTCACTAAAAATATGAATGTATTGAGTGAACGGCGTTCATTGAACGCGTTCAGGCACAACACTGATCCCATGGATCTTACAGGAACATTAAGTTGCTTGGAGATGGTCTTATAGCCTTTACCTTTCACATGCTTGTCTATAATTTTCTTTCTAATCTCATGAAACAGCCCTTTCCTTTGCTTTCTCTGGTCCATGTTGAGTGTGGTACACACCATGTCACCAAACAGCATACTGACTTCCTGTAGGGACAACTTATTGATTGCAAGAATGTGACACAAGTAATGCCAATTAGTGGGCACACCTAAGTCACTTTGGTCAAAATATTTTCTTTTTTCTAGGGGTATCATCCTTTTTGATGTGGCCTTTTTAATGAGATTATGTTTTGTTTTTTGTTTTTATAGTTATATTAAAGCATAGTTGAAAAGCTATTTCTGACTCCAAGAGTTTATTCTCATACATGTATTAATATTTTTCTCAGATTCTGGTTATTTTTTGACCAATGTGGGTTTTTCTTCCATTACAAACATATTTTGTCAATGTCTGCATGTATTAATATTGTGTTTTACGGTTAGATTCAACCAACTCTGGCGACAACATGTACACCATGATAAACACAGTACCTCCTGGTGGAAGCCGACCAAATGTGAGCCCTTTCTCTGTGCTTTGAAGTTTATAAGGTGTTAAAGAGTGACTGTAACCTTTAAGGTCAGATTTCAATGTATGTTTTTCTTCCTCTGCTTCTGCATCTCCTGTTTGGCTCAGTTTCCTATGGGTGGAGGTAGTGATGGTCCATTGGGGGGATTGGCAGGAATGGAGCCGCATCACATGAATGGGTCTTTAGGTAAAAGGACAGTTGGTTTGTATGTTGTGTGTATTTCTGATCATGTTGGGCTCAATACCTCACATTAAGTGTAAAATCCTTGCAGGCTTATTATAGACTGTTTTCTCTTTCAGGGTCCGGTGATATGGACAGTCTCTCCAAGGTCTGTAAAACTGTTAAATGTCTTTGAGGTGTTTTTTTTTTTCTCCAGCATCTGAAATTACAATCTTTTTAACATGTTTTGCTGCCGGCAGAACTCTCCTGGTAACCTAAGCATGAGTAACCAACCAGGGACACCGAGAGAGGATGGAGAGATGGGAGGAAACTTCCTTAATCCATTTCAGAATGAAAGTGTAAGTCATCTATGAATTAGTTTGTTATTTTTAGGAGGTTAGCCTCTCATAACTTTCAGAAAGGTTGAGACTAAACACAGAAATGCAACACTTCTAGAGGAAGTGCAATTTACAACATTGTTGTTTGCTCTCTTAGGCTAAGGGAAATGTATCTTTGGGAGGTCTAAAGCTGCCCAGCAGCCTCACAGTGATGGCAGCCATCCACAAAGTACATTTGAATTGCAAAGAAGATGTCAGGCTTTGATTTGCTGCCATCACTATCACCAGGACCTGTGTCTCTGGGTCTTTTTGTTAAGCTCAGTTGCTCCTGGGTTTTGGTTTTAGGTTTCCTTAGAGACAGTTTGTTTTGACATTGACCAATCAATCCTCCAAAAGTTCTTTAAACAGGACTTGGAAGTATAGAACTGAGTTCAGTTGCTCACCAAACCTTGTAGTGTTTATTTGAAAAGAGGAAGAAAGAAAGAAATCAATAAAACAAAACAAAGTTAATGAAATAAAAACATCAAAAAGCAAAAACTAAAGATTCTTCATCCACACAACACAATTAACGCCCCATTTACTTACAAAAAAATCTATGCTCTTTGTCAAATTAAAAAACGAAAATTCTACTTGAACACGTGCAATTACCAGTCTCTTAAATAAAATACAAGCATCTTCCATTTGATGACTATTCATTTTGTTCTTTCTTGATATCCATTGCTAGTTTTGCCATTCCAGAAATGGAATTTAAAAGCACATGAACAGATCTCTTCTTTGCACAATACTGTGGACCATAAATAAAAATACAGCTAGAGACTTAACACCAAAACCACTAAACAAACAATCCGAAAGAACAAAAAGAGGATTCAGTCTTAAACATTCAACAAAAATATGATTCCACCTGTAAACAAAAAGAAAGAAAGAGAGTTCATGTTATTATACAGCATTTGATGCATATCCATTCTTCCTGCAGAGTGCCCTTACCTTTGTAACTTGAGAGAGTTCCTGAATCGGTCTTGTGACCCACATCACCAATTTACAGGGGTCTGAGCTCTGCTTAAACACAGGAACTAACTAAGAAAAATTTTGTTGTAAGCTAAAAAATCAGATATGATCTGATCAGACATATTTTTGTCTCTTTGATTTGAATGCGGCCTTGTTTTTACATTACTTCTCAAACTGATGGTCCAAAGCAGTCAAATTCCAAAACAGAGAGTGACTGTTTTGCTTTGCAATAGTGCAGTGTTGCTCTTTGCTTTCAGGGGCACTAAACCTACACTCACCGGCCACTTTATTAGGTACACCTGTCCAACTGCTCGTTAACACTTAATCTCTAAGCAGCCAATCACATGGCGGCAACTCAGTGCATTTAGGCATGTAGACATGGTCAAGACAATCTCCTGCAGTTCAAACCGAGCATCAGTATGGGGAAGAAAGGTGATTTGAGTGACTTTGAACGTGGCATGATTGTTGGTGCCAGAAGGGCTGGTCTGAGTATTTCAGAAACTGCTGATCTACTGGGATTTTCACGCACAACCATCTCTAGGGTTTTCAGAGAATGGTCCGAAAAAGAAAAAACATCCAGTGAGCAGCAGTTCTGTGGGCGGAAATGCCTTGTTGATGCCAGAGGTCAGAGGAGAATGGCCAGACTGGTTCGAGCTGATAGAAGGGCAACAGTGACTCAAATAACCACACGTTACAACCAAGGTGGGCAGAAGAGCATCTCTGAACGCACAGTACGTGGAACTTTGAGGCAGATGGGCTACAGCAGCAGAAGACCACACCGGGTGCCACTCCTTTCAGCTAAGAACAGGAAACTGAGGCTACAATTTGCACAAGCTCATCGAAATTGGACAATAGAAGATTGGAAAAACGTTGCCTGGTCTGATGAGTCTTGATTTCTGCTGCGACATTCGGATGGTAGGGTCAGAATTTGGTGTCTACAACATGAAAGCATGGATCCATCCTGCCTTGTATCAACGGTTCAGGCTGGTGGTGGTGGTGTCATGGTGTGGGGAATATTTTCTTGGCACTCTTTGGGCTCCTTGGTACCAATTGAGCCTCGTTGCAACGCCACAGCCTACCTGAGTATTGTTGCTGACCATGTCCATCCCTTTAAGACCACAATGTACCCAACTTCTGATGGCTACTTTCAGCAGGATAATGCACCATGTAATAAAGCTGGATTCCTCTCAGACTGGTTTCTTGAACATGACAATGAGTTCACTGTACTCAAATGGCCTCCACAGTCACCAGATCTCAATCCAATAGAGCATCTTTGGGATGTGGTGGAACGGGAGATTCGCATCATGGATGTGCAGCCGACAAATCTGCGGCAACTGTGTGATGCCATCATGTCAATATGGACCAAACTCCCTGAGGAATGCTTCAAGCACCTTGTTGAATATATGCCACGAAGAATTGAGGCAGTTCTGAAGACAAAAGGGGGTCCAATCCGTTACTAGCATGGGGTACCTAATAAAGTGGCCGGTGAGTGTATAATTTACAGGTCTACCCCCATAGTTACTAAATGTCAAAGAGTTTAATATGAATGTAAAATGTTACAATGGGAAAATGGGTATGGGTATGAAAACTTCTGCAAGGCAGCTTACAACACTAACACACCTCTGTCCTTGTTGTATTTCAGCAGTATTCTCCAAACATGACAATGAGCGTGTGAAGACTCGTAAAGTTGTGGGGAAATCGGTATAAAGCAAAGAGACACAATAAGACATCATTTAGGCCAGTGATTCCTTGTCCGCCATCGCTGCCCCTATCCCCAACCCCTGACCTCCATTTTCCCCAAACTCTCCATGGTTTCAGCCTACGTCTCTACTCTGTTTCTTCAAAGTGACCACTCTGCTGCATTCAGACTGTACAAAAGATCCAAGTGAAACGTGCAAGAGGAGAACTCTTTATATATTTACATGCGGTGTATGGAGCAGTGTACATCCAACACATGACTCTGAACCAAATCATTCAACTGAAGATAAACAACCAAGAGCATCCGCACAGTTTTTTTTATTATTTCTTTTATTGTTAAATGTATTTCAGCTTTTTTAATGAGACATTTCTGTTTTTTATTACTACAAAAATGCAAACTACCCCAGTCACATGACTCTTAGCCTTATTTCAGTATTTTGCAGTTATCCAAGGCTTTTTTCCACACCCCTGGTTGTCCACATCTTTGAAACAAACACTGTTACATTAATTTAATGTTTATTTATGTTTTAGAAGATGTTGTTCTTTATTTTTCATACTAATCAATTATGGGAATCATCTTTCAGTTTGTCCTCATAAAAGGGGGAAAATTAGTGAAGATTAAAATTATCCAGCTTCACATTTCAAGACACTCTTTTAATACATTTTAAATTATAAAACCAGAGCTTATTTAAACAGAAGACTGTAAGCTGTCATTTTTAAACTAGTTCTTTATTCGGATTATTTTACGCTTTGGATTAGTTGATTGTTGGAAACTGTTTGGAAGAGAACTGCAAAGTTAATCGGTTGCAGGTTATTACAAATCTTATTAACAAATCATGCTGTGCAGGTTGAACATTTTTTTTTTTCCCAATGCAGTAAAATTTGTCTCGTTCTGTACTGAACTGCAAACCACAGTTGTGATGTAACACGTGAGTAATATACTCAAAGGGTTGAACTTTGCACTCTGTCCATTGCAGACCCACAACACAAAATTTAGACAAATGGCATCAATAACATTCTCTTTGTTCAGATAAAACAACTAGAGTTTGTAAATTGATTTTCTCTTAGTTGTGGATTCTCTGACCTGCTATCTTAATGATACATGTAACGATCGCAGAGTTTGCATCTTGGAACCACAAGAAGCACAGTGGGTCTAATTCTCTGAATTCAACAGAGACGTAGATGATGAGGATGAAAAGCAAACTCAACACTGGTTACTCCTGAATAATTGTCATCCGGTTAAACTGTGATTTTAATATGATTTTAAGAGTTGATTGGTACAGAAAACTAAAAGCTTGTTTTTGAATCATTTTTTTTTTAAAAGAGAAAAACTTTTTAGTGCCCATGATTGTTACAATGTACAAACGTTGATATTTGTGTGAACATGCTCCTCTCCCCTCCAACACCTCTACATGTACAGCCGGGTCACAAATGTAGCTCCTCTTTCTTGTATGTGTATTTGATGTTATTATTATTTCAATATTAATCTTCAGAGAGTCACCGAATGGGAGGAATGGACTAATAAGCCAACCTAAAAACTGAAATGATGTTCTTTTATCTTTTTTTTTTTTTTTTTCTCATTAGAATGAAGCCATAAGTGGGAGAACAAGAAGATAAGTTTGTAAATTAGATCTCATTTTTGTTTTGTGACTGTGTGGGACTTCATTTGTGATGTGTTCATTTCTCTCTTTTTTATTCTTGTATTACATTTTTGTAAATAAGCAGAGAAGTTTCATTGGTTTTAAATTTGCTGGTATAAAGCTTCTCTTCCCTTAGTCATTTGTTTCTTCTTAATTATTGTGTCGGTGTGGATCGAAGTGAATATTTAAAATTTGTTTACACAAGCAGAGTTTCTTTCATACTGTGCCCTTGGTCCTCATTTCACCTTTTTCAAATAGTGATTTATGTGAAAATACTATGGGCCTGGTCTTCAAAAGGTTGGGTTGCAAGTTGCTTGTGCACTTTAACAGTGTGTGCAAATGTTTTATTTATTTATTTTTTTTGCATACTGTAGGTGGAGCAAACCTCACAAATTTATTGTTGAAAGATATGCAAATGTTAATAGTTATCACTTCACACTATCAATTAATCAAACCTGAAAGTGAGTACAGGTGCTTGCATTTTTGCATCTTTATTTAGTATGAAACAGAATGATGAATGGATGGATAGATAGATATGTTGGTTATGTAAAAGATGGCTGCACAGGCTGGTACAAGTAAATGCAGCGGGACTACGGAAAATCTTTATAAAATTTAAACAAAAATAACAATGACTTGGCAGAAATATCATGGCATGTTTATCAAAACAAAACTGAATACCAGCAGCTGCTTGTATTATGTTTGTCTTTACTTTTCTTTGTAGGGCTTTGAATTAATTATATACACAATACGTAATTTTCATCACTATTATCAACGTCATGTTTTTTTAAGGCCCCGAGCAGCGAAGGGGCTGCGAAGGCCAATTTTTTTTTCAAATGTTTATTTTTCTCCTGAATGAAACGCTTTTTTAGAGGCTTTAACATATTTTTAAAAAACTCAGCAGACTTTACAGAAAATTGTCCCTCGTGTGAAATGTACGTAGTTTAATGGAATCAGAAATGGGCATGGCCAAACGGCTCAACAGCTCACTCTAAAGTTAGATGGGGAAAACCGTAAGTAGCAGAGACTTAAAATTTTGCACAAAGGTAATTCTCCCTAAATTGAGTCTCTTGGAGGTATGCCCTACAGTAGAACCCACAGGAAGTCAGCCATTTTGAATCGAAGCCATCACTTTGCTTTTTTTTCTTCATGACATATCTGAGCATAATCCTCCTAGAGCTTTTCAGTTACAAACTTCAAATCCACTCTCAATTGGCCTTAGGCAAAGTGGATCAAAGAATATTTCTACATCAAAGCATGTGGGCATGGCCAAGCATGAAATTTGATCTTTTTGGGATAAAACAAAAGGTAAGCCCCAGGCCATGCTTTCACAGAGAATCATGAAATTTTGTACACATGTATAACCCATCAAAACCTACAAAAAGGTCTCTTGGAGCCATGGTCCAAACCCCATGGGAAATCAGCTGTTTTGAATCAAACCCATAATTAGCTTTTTTTTACCTTCATGTATTAGCTTAGCAAACTCCTACAGCTTTTGAGCTACAAACGTCTAACTTGCAGTGCGTAGACTTAAGGCATAAGGGTCAGGGTCACTGGGGTCCGATAAAGAAAATCATCAACCAGTAAAGACATTTTTAATTCTTATCTGTTTCTTTAAACATAATTTAACACAGAAATAAAATGAGGTATTTATGCATCCATGTTATGCAAGGATTAAAAAAAAAAATATATATTTTTTTTAAATGGAAAGTGTTTTTTTTAAGTAGAGAACAACAGTCGTTCAGTTTGGTATATACACAATATCCTGATTCACATATTTTATAAAACACCTTAACTGACCATCGATTTATTCATTCAAAAGGAGTTAACATGTATAATTCAGTAGCTCTTGTTACACTGCAAGTTGAGAGTAAATATAATTAGGATTGGCAAGCTTGAGGTGCAGACAGCCACCCAGCCAGATCATCTGAAATGCAGTTATATGTGTTTCACAGAGACATGGCTACAGGATTGTAAACTCTAGATTAGAACTCCAAAGCCAACTCCAGTGTCACTCTGCCCAGCTTTCAGCTAAAGGTCAAATATCTGAAGACTTAAGGTACAAGTAAATTAGATTAAGTACTACTGCTTTTCAACAATAACCTGTTAAATCCAGCTAATATTACTGCAAAATATGATACCTGCAACAAGTTTCCATGTGCATAATTTGTCACATTTACCATGGTAATAAAAATCCCTTATGCAGATCTTGAGATTTTAACAACACCCCTTCTCTATCTTTAACTCCCTGAAAGTTTAAACAGTTGCTTAACTGCTCAACTTGAGAAAATGCAATGTTAATTTAATGTATTCCAAGTTTGATGTGCATACAATTGTTGCATGATATGCTCTTGCACAGCAGCTCAGTATATAAAGCATGTTCAGAGGACGCATGTTTTCAAAACAGCTGAGAGATCCTCACAGGAATAATTAAATCTTGCAGGGATATAAGGTGCACTGAAAGTATCCATAAAAAAATAAATAGCAAAAGAAAAGCAGCTACATTGTCAAAAAAAAAAATCACTTAATTTCTATCAAAATTACAAATTCATATTAATCTGAAACATCCCTAAAACACTATATTTGTTTTAGTACATAAAGTATATCCTGCAGATTTGAGATTGCAGGATTTATATAGGTTCTGGTCTCCATAAATTTTGCAATCTCCCTCTTAAATATTCTTTCAATGAGCACACATTTTAAAAACAACTTCAGGTGAGTTAAAAAAAAATATTGTGAATTATATGAAAAGGTACCAAACTAAATGGATGCCTGTGTGACTGTTTTGGTTATATCATACAGTCCCATTGTGGCATAGCCCTCTTCTTCTTCTTCTTATTGATTTTTATTGGCGGTTGGCAAAAAACGTTAGGTGAGCATTACCGCCACCAACTGGTATGGAGTGTGGACTACATGGCAGAAAAAAAATAAATAAATAAAAAATAAATAAAATAAAACTATACCCTATTATACAACCTAATCTGTTTCAAAAATTCAAATATAACCCGATATCCTCTGCTTCCTGATTCCTTCTGCAATAAATCGACAATGTCAAGTTTCATTTTCATGTCACTAAGTTTCCTTATTAACCTGTTTCTCTGTATCGAATATTTACTACAATTTAAAATGACATGTTCCACAGTCTCATCTTCCCCTCAGTCACATTTCCCTGTCTGATGTTTCCCTATCAAAAATAACGATCTATTCAATCCAGTGTGTCCTATTCTAAGTCGAGAAATAATAATCTCTTCTCTCCTGTTCCTTTCTGATCTTCTCATTGGTCCAATTCTCTTTTGTATTTTATAAAGCCACCTTCCTTTCTTTTCTTCATTCCATAACTTTTGCCACCTCTCTTTTGCTTTTTGTTTAATTATACCCTTTATTTCTGTTATACCAAAACTAACATTAATGTCTACCCTTAACTTATTGGTACTCTCCTTAGCCATCCTGTCTGCCCTTTCATTTCCTTTTATCTCGTTATGTGCCGGAACCCAAACAAAATTTACCACTAGCCCCATCATATTTATTCTGTAAAGTGTTTGTTGTATTTCAAGTAATATATCTGGTCTACTGACTGACTGATTATTTTGCAAACTGACTAATGACGAACTGGAATCTGAGCAAATGATAGATTTTAATGGTCTTACCTCTTCCACCCATTGAACTGCTAAAAGCAAAGCTAGCATTTCACCGGTATATACTGAAACTCCATCACTAATCCTTTTTCCAACATTAATATGAAACTGTGGTATAATAAATGCTATCCCTACCCTATTAGCAGTATTTTTTGATGCATCTGTAAGCATAGCCCTCCTACTGCGAACTCCCATTTCTCTCTTTGTTACATAACATGTTACACAACATATTGTCTCCTATCCTTTATCTGGCTTCTCCTGAAAGAGCTCACTTGTCCCATCCACACAGAAACATCCACTTGACTTCCATTCAACTTCTCACCATGTTTGCTCAGTTTTGCTTTGCTTTTTTGGCTATCTCCTCTCTGGCTGCTGCATCTGATCAAGGATGCGATGAGCTGATTAAACCTCTGGATGACCGAAGCAAGGTAAGCTGTGCTCTGCACTGACATTGTAAAGCAGAGCACAGTTAATTTTTGTGTAAAAGGCACAATTATCGATTGCAAAACAAATATTACCCTCATTTAGTGGACCACTAGATTACAGTAATCAGAATCTTTTCTCAGCTTGCTGTCTAGATTTTTATTCATGCACAAAAGATACCCCTTTAGGGTTTAAGAATAAAATGTTTTAAGATATTTGAAAAGAAATATAGTGAGAATTAAAGTAACGGGAGAATTTTCTGAATTGCTTGAACTGACACACACAAAACTAAATGTTAATGTGTCCCATTTAGAAATGAAAAGTTTTCTTGAAAGCTCATTTTTCTTATTGACATTTAGGTTTATGGAAAATGGATAACCTATGCTATAGCGTCTGACAGTGAGGAAAATCTAAAAGCATATGCAATCTCCACTAGCTCTTGGGCTAAAATGTCCCCGATACCTGACAGTGATGAATTCACGATCCACTACGTCGACAGAATGTAAGCTGGGATCCTTTAAAACTTGTTCTCATTACCTTTTAATTCAACAAAAATCAACTTTATGTTTATGTAATTTTTGATTCTTTTTGTCAGTGAAGGTAAATGTGTTCATGGGACGT